AGCCCCACAGTTCCGTGTTTGCGAGGATTTCGAAGCTCGCTATTTGCGAGGTTTTCGCATGTCCGGAATTCCGCTTCCATGCTATTTGCGAGGTTTTCGCATGTCCGGAATTCCGCTTCCCTGCTATTTGCGAGGTTTTCAAGCATGTCCGGCATTCCGCTTCCCTGCTATTTGCGAGGTTTTCAAGCATGATTCCGCTTCCATGCTATTTGCGAGGTTTTCAAGCATGTCCGGAATTCCGCTTCCATGCTATTTGCGAGGTTTTCAAGCGTGTCCGGAATTCCGCTTCCTGCTATTTGCGAGGTTTTCAAGCATGTCCGGAATTCCGCTTCCATGCTATTTTGCGAGGTTTTCGCATGTCCGGAATTCCGCTTCCATGCTATTTGCGGTGTTTTCAAGCGCCCAGTTGTCCGTTACCATGCTATTTGCGGTGCTTTCAAGCGCCACATGTCGGTGACCATGCTCTTTGCGGTGTTTTCGAGCGCCCATATGTCCGTTACCATGCTATTTGCGGTGTTTTCATGCGCCCAGATGTCCGTTACCATGCTATTTGCGGTGTTTTCAAGCGCCCAGATGTCCGTTACCATGCTATTTGCGGTGTTTTCATGCGCCCAGATGTCCGTTACCATGCTATTTGCGCCCACGTTATTTGCGAGGGTTTCGAAGCCCCAGAATTCCGCGCCCACGTTATTTGCTAGGTTTTCAAAGCCCCAGAATTCCGCGCCCATGTTATTTGCGAAGTTTTCAAAGCCCCAGAGTTCCGCGCCCACGTTATTTGCGAGTTCCGTGCCCATGTTAGCACGTCCGGAATTCCGCTTCCATGCTATTTGCGAGGTTTTCAAGCATGTCCGGAATTCCGCTTCCATGCTATTTGCGAGGTTTTCGCATGTCCGGAATTCCGCTTCCATGCTATTTGCGGTGTTTTCAAGCGCCCAGTTGTCCGTTACCATGCTATTTGCGGTGCTTTCAAGCGCCACATGTCGGTGACCATGCTCTTTGCGGTGTTTTCGAGCGCCCAGATGTCCGTTACCATGCTATTTGCGGTGTTTTCATGCGCCCAGATGTCCGTTACCATGCTATTTGCGGTGTTTTCAAGCGCCCAGATGTCCGTTACCATGCTAATTGCGCAACCCGAACGGGAGCTCCTGAGCCGCTTCACCGAGCCCCTGCTCGGAAATTGCGGTGAGGGGTCACTGCTCGTCAAACTTGTACAGAGAACGTAAATGCCCAGGCCCCGCAGAATCCTCCCCAAACTCCGGCTCTTGGGATTTGATTGGCCCGTCAGCAAGCCTCTCTTTCACGCCTACCAGTCACCCAGACTCAGTTAGCAGCAAGGAACCGCATGGATCGGATCCGAGCGCGGAGGCAATTCTTTCCTGGTGGACCAGGTATTTCGTGGCCGAAGCAACTGCGATATGTGGTGAGAAGCCTGCACGGGGGCGCGGGCGCGCGCCTTGGGCATTAGAGGCGAAGCTAGCTTAGTTGTGCACCACCGGTGGCCTGCCTCCGTCATACGCCCGGCCTCCCAGCCCCCCAACCCCCGCCACTAAGTGCCTTCCTCAATCAGCCCTTCTCTCTGCCCCAGTCCACGCCCTGCATGGCTTCAAAAGCCAATACCTTTGCGCCCAGATGTCCGTTACCATGCTATTTGCGCTGTTTTCAGACGCCCAGGGTGTCCGCGGCGTACTACGTCTGTACTACAAACAGTCGACTTTCCAGCCACGGAAGCTCCGTGTGTCCGCGGCGTACTCGGCGTACTACGTTTGTGCTACAAAAGTCGACTTTCCAGCCACGGAAGCTCCGCGTGTCCGTGGCGTACTACATTTGTACTACAAAAGTCGACTATCCAGCCACGGAAGCTCCGGGTGTCCGCGGCGTACTACATTTGTACTACAAAAGTCGACTTTCCTGCCACGGAAGCTCCGGGTGTCCGCGGCGTACTACGTTTGTATTACAAAAGTCTACTTTCCAGCCACGGAAGCTCCGGGTGTCCCCGGCGTACTACGTCTGTACTACTAAACTCGACTTTCCAGCCACGGAAGCTCCGCGTGTCTGTACTACAAAAGTCGACTTTGGCACCGTGACCACGCCGAAACCCGCAGAGGGGTTACGTTCGTATGTCAAAAAACGCAAAAACACGATGGTTTTGGCACCGCGCCAACGCCGAAACCCGCAGAGGGGTTACGTTCGTATGTCAAAAAACGCAAAAACACGATGGTTTTGGCGCCGCGCCAACGCCGAAACCCGCAGAGGGGTTACGTTCGTATGTCAAAAAACGCAAAGACACGATGGTTTTGGCACCGCGCCAACGCCGAAACCCGCAGAGGGGTTACGTTTGTATGTCAAAAAAGGCAAAAGCACGATGGTTTTGGCACCGCGCCAACGCCGAAACCCGCAGAGGGTTGTCTGCGCCCACGAAAAAAAGTTCCAAAAACGACGGTTTTAGCACCGCTTCCATGCTATTTGCGGTGTTTTCAAGCGCCCAGTTGTCCGTTACCATGCTATTTGCGGTGCTTTCAAGCGTCCGTTACCGTGCTCTTTGCGGTGTTTTCGAGCGCCCAGATGTCCGTTACCATGCTATTTGCGGTGTCTTCATGCGCCCAGATGTCTGTTACCATGCTATTTGCGGTGTTTTCAAGCGCCCAGATGTCCGTTACCATGCTAATTGCGGTGTTTTCATGCGCCCAGATGTCCGTTACCATGCTATTTGCGGTGTTTTCAGACGCCCAGGGTGTCCGCGGCGTACTACGTCTGTCCTACAAACAGTCGACTTTCCAGCCACGGAAGCTCCGCGTGTCCGCGGCGTACTGGCGTACTACGTTTGTGCTACAAAAGTCGACTTTCCAGCCACGGAAGCTCCGCGTGTCCGTGGCGTACTACATTTGTACTACAAAAGTCGACTATCCAGCCACGGAAGCTCCGGGTGTCCGCGGCGTACTACATTTGTACTACAAAAGTCGACTTTCCTGCCACGGAAGCTCCGGGTGTCCGCGGCGTACTACGTTTGTACTACAAAAGTCTACTTTCCAGCCACGGAAGCTCCGGGTGTCCCCGGCGTACTACGTCTGTACTACAAAACTCGACTTTCCAGCCACGGAAGCTCCGCGTGTCCGTACTACAAAAGTCGACTTTGGCACCGTGACCACGCCGAAACCCGCAGAGGGGTTACGTTCGTATGTCAAAAAAAGCAAAAACACGATGGTTTTGGCACCGCGCCAACGCCGAAACCCGCAGAGGGGTTACGTTCGTATGTCAAAAAACGCAAAAACACGATGGTTTTGGCGCCGCGCCAACGCCGAAACCCGCAGAGGGGTTACGTTTGTATGTCAAAAAAGGCAAAAACACGATGGTTTTGGCACCGCGCCAACGCCGAAACCCGCAGAGGGTTGTCTGCGCCCACGAAAAAAAGTTCCAAAAACGACGGTTTTAGCACCGCGACCCGGCGATTACCCGCAGAGGGTTGTCCGCGGTCAGAAAGAAACGTCAAAAAACGACGGTTTTGGCACTGCGACCACGCCGAAACCCGCAGAGGGTTGTCCGCGGACACAAAGAAACGTAAAAAAACGACGGTTTTAGCACCACGACCACGCCGAAACCCGCAGAGGGTTGCAATCCCGATTGGCGATGTCAACCCAGCCCGCCGCCTTAGAAAGAGTAATTTTAATTTAGAAATCTAGGACTGGGTACGAAGGTCTAGGCAATTCACTCATTGCAATTCACTCTATGCAATTCACTCTATGCACTTCACTCTATGCACTTCACTCTATGCACTTCACTCTATGCACTTCACTCTATGCACTTCACTCTATGCACTTGACTCTGTGCACTTCACTCTATGCACTTCACTCTGTGCACTTCACTCTATGCACTTCACTCTATGCGCTTCACTCTATGCACTTCACTCTGTGCACTTGACTCTATGCACTTCACTCTATGCACTTCACTCTGTGCGCTTCACTCTATGCACTTCACTCTATGCACTTCGCTCTATGCGCTTCACTCTATGCACTTCACTCTATGTACTTCACTCTATGTTGTTGGGTCAGAGGGCTCCGCACGGAAGAACCCTTCGCGATGCTTTCGGGAACTATTTAAACTATTTAAATCATTTAAATTATATAAATTATTTAGGTTATTTAAACAATTTGCATTATTTAGTTTATTTAAGTTCCACCCGAATTTAAAAAATGTAAATAATTTAAATATTGGAGGCCCGAAATTATTCAAATTATTTAACTTCCCGGCCTTTCCCCTCACAGAAACCGTTTATTTGGAAGCTGTCTCTCTTTATTTTAATTAGGTAGAAAGAAACCCGAGCCCCAGCTTCCAAATAGACCCTATTTAAGCCGCACATGGGGGGGGGGGGATTTAAATTATCTAAATTATTGTTGGGGGCCCCCAAATATTTAAAATAATTTAAATTATTTAAATTATTGAAATTCCCTGAATGTAAATAAATGAGATGAGATAAATGAGAAAAACAAATATTGGGGGCCCCCCAAATATTTAAATTATGTAAATCATTTCAACTCGGGGACTTTAGATAATTTAAGTAATCTAAATATTGGGGGGCCCATTTAAATCCTGGAAGGGGGGCCGGGCCCCCTCCCGCAGGAGGAAGTAAATGATTTAGATATGACCTTTTTTTTCCATTCTGCTCTCAAGCCGAAGAGAGGAAAAGGCAGTGGCAGTCGAAGTTGCTTCAAGAAGTCTTACTAAGCCCCGCAAAAAAAATGCTCCTTTCGCAGAGTAGATATCCATGTTACACAGGGTAGTTAAGGCAAAATGGACGCAACTATGTATTCAACTAGCCTCTCTGAAGCAAGAATTGGATGGGCCCCTACACCCTTGGCTCCGAAGTTGTTTCAAGCGTGTCGTGAGGTTGGGAGATTCTGGACATGTGAAACTGTTTATGCAGGGCTTGCCATAGCGGCACATTTCCAAGGCTTTTGCCGAGAAGCATTTGGCTCCAGCAGTTCGATTTTGCGGAAGGAGGGGGCATGTGGCGGCCGATGAAGGCATGTACGCTTTTGGGCTTCTTTCATCTTAAAAGCTTAAACCCTTAACCTATTCTCGAGCATCTTTCAGGTCTGGTGTTTGGGTTCCAAACGGTAGTTAAAACTGATTGTGCCCTCTGTCACTTGGATGCCGTTGCAAAGTTCTGAACAGTCGCTCGAAGACCGGCCCCAAGCCAAGTGCAAGCTTTTCCAGTAAGTCCCCTAAACCCCTGAACCAGCCTCAAGCCAAGAACCCTCAAAACCCCCCAAACCCAAAACACCTTGAAACCCGAGAAGACCATCCCAAAGCCCAAAACCCTAAACAGTGCAAACCCCAAATCATCCTAAAGCCCAAACCCCCAAACCCCTAAAAACCTAGCCATCCTCAACCCTTAAAGCATCCTAACCCCTGAAACCCCAAGCCAAGGCTGCTTTGTCTCTCCTGGGTCTCGCTGCCCGGGGCTTTGGCGGGAGTCGTCGGAGCCGCGGAGTCCGCGCCTTCCTTGGCCTTAAAGGTGCCCCGGCGGTGGTTCGGGGCAGGAATCTGTCCTGGTCCCTAACTGCATCCCCGTGCCCTCCACCACAGCGGCGCCGGCTTCGAAGGGTTGGGCCTCATAGTGTTTTGAGCTCTTCGTGTTTCAGGGTGTCGGGGGATGAGGGTTTTGACGGAAGAGAGCTTCAACTCTGGTACCCGTGGAAGTTTAGCCTATACAAAGTCGCCAGGCGCCTTTTCTTTGGCTTCCTTGTGATGCCCAAGGACACCCCTTTAACCCTACCAAGACCCAACCCTCCGTCATAGCCCCCGGAGTCTCAACCCATAGTTGTACAAAACCCCCACAGCCATGAACCACTTAAACAAGCTGTGTGTCTAAAGACTCCCACACACGGGTATTTGTTTCGGCTAGTAGTTTGAATGGGGCCGCGGCATGGGTCACTAACGTATCAAATGTATCAATGCCCTGGTTGGCCCAAGGACAACTGCCATTCTTGGCGTGTTGGAGGGTGAGCCACTAATGCCGCAGCCTGATCAAACCTCGGATCCTTGAAATAGCTAAACTTGAGCCCTTCAACCCCAGTTTTGTTCAACCTTGAAACACGGGCCTTTTGCCCCAACCTCCAAACCCGGGAGGTTTCCGAGGTCGACCCGGGCGCCCCGGAGTGCCCGTGCTTGACTTCTGAGAACCTCGGCGGCAGCTTGTGATTGGGGGTAAAGCAAGAAGCTTCGCAGCTTTGCAGAGCTTTTGGCGAGTGCGCCTGAGGAACGTCCACGGCTATCAGGCGGTGGTCCGCGTGTTGAGGTCGCACGGCGTCAACGAGTCGAAAGGCATGCTCGGCTGCCAGGCTGGATGCTCCCAGGGATCCTTGTAATAGTGGCTTCCATAGATATCTTTCAATTTGAGGGTATACAGGGGGACGGTGTTTTGGAAACTGCCAACGGCCCGATGGCCAGAGAGCATGTCGCCCAACAGTCTCCACACAAGGTTTGCGTTGATGGCTGGATCTCAGAAAGTAGGTATGTGCTGCAAGGTGTACATCGACACAGCGGAGAACGACACAGGGGAGAACGGCACAGCAGAGTGCGACAGTTATCCTTTTTCCTGCAAGCAGCGGTGGTGTTACGCGGCCAGCTTGCCCTTGGAAACCTATTCTAGTTCTGTTGTGTGGCTTGCAGGAAGGCAGTTTATGGCACCTGAGCGTTCAGGTGGACATCGAGGCCTGCAAAGTGAACCAGCAAAGGTGCAAGGAAGCTCACCTGCGTCTGGGTTGCTCTGAGGGAAGCTCAAGCGGGGTCGAGTGGGAAAAGAGCAGAGCAACTTCCAGTTTTCAGCTCCAGCTCGGTAGCAGCATGATGGCACAAGCCTGCAAGTAGCTGTCTACTTCGGCTGCCAGCCGCAACCTAGGCGTCGGGGCTCGCGGGCTTCCCCGCATTGTCGTGAGCGGCCGCGCTATGAGAGCATGTACGTCAATGACTCGTCAGTGATGTTCCCTGCAGATTTCGTGTGAAGTAGGGTCTTTGCGGTAGTTTTGGGGCTCAGGTTCGGGTTTTTGTGTCTGGGCTGCGTGTAGCCATCTTCTGTGAGGAGTTGGGGTGAGTGACGGGATTCAGACCCTACCTGTATGCTTTTCCAACAACCCCAACCCCTAGATTCTAGACCCTAAACCATGACCTCCACGAAGATGTTGCTAAGCCACGCGCCCTAAAGCCCTGCGTGAGGTTCAGTTATGAGACCTGCGGGGCCTTGGGCAGCTACGACGACGCCGGGCTTAAAAGAACTCATAGGAACTCATAGGTTTAGAAAAGACATGTGGATGCTGAGCTGATAATATCTTTTGATAATGCATATCATGACTGTAAATGTCATCTGAATGGGTGCTGTCCTTGTCTTTTGATTCACTTGAGCCTTTAGGGAATACCTGCCAGCCTACAACCCATAAATCCTTCGAACAGCTTCGCAGGTGCCTGCCTGATTTCGGGTTAACCTCCAAGATGCTGAAACCCTCCATCTGAGAACTGAGCCCCCACAGAGCTTAAAGAGCCTTCAAGGAGACCCGCTTCGAGAAATGGATGGCCAACCTCGAAGTGCAAGCTGCCGTTGACCCCAGGAAAAACTACCCAAACGAGCTGCTGGGCTGAGCTCTAGAACAGAAGTTCGGTCGCCTTGTAGACAACCCAGAAGCCTAAACTCTAAACCCTGATCCAACCTTGTTATTTTTTTGGAGTGCTCCCAAATCCACTTTTTCAAAAGGGACTCTCTTCTGCGGGTTTCGGTGGATCTGGTTGTCGTTTTTATATGTTGAGAACGGGAGAACAGCCCAGGATGCTGCGAGAGCTTGTTGACAAGGCCTTCACCAAGTTCAGTTTCCTCAACTCCTCCGAAAGAGCGCTTAAGTCACAGAGGAACGTGTCAATCCCCATCTGGACTCCCACCACCGACCAATCCTACTGGGAGACGCCGGCATCCACGGGCCCCAACTGTTCCAAAGATGAGGCGGGACGCTTTGTTTGCCACTCTGGCTACAGCAACTGTGTCCATGATGTCGCGGTGGGGAACTTCGACCTCTGCATCGCAGACTTGTGGATCACGCCGGGCCGAAGTGCCATCGCTCAGTTCCTGCCTCCCGTGCGCTTCGACATGTTCTACCTGGTGCAACCTGCGAAGCCGAGGACGGAGTTGGATCTTATTCCAATCATGGGGAGGCCCTTCAAACCCTTCACGCTTGGGGCCTGGGTGGCCATTGGGATCTTTATGCTGCTTTCTGCTTTGTGCTTTCTGGTCGGGCTCCACTTCGAGGACCCCAAGAAGCAGAGCAACGAGCGGGGAAATGGGACCCCTCCTGCGCCCGCTCACCAGAACACCACCACCAGTCTGGCTTCGCAAAAGGCACACGACCTGTGGGACCGTATGGGGTGTGCAAAGTCCTTTGCAAACTCCAGCACCGCCTCATGCAAGATCGTAGGTTTCGGCTTTGCTTGGGCCATGCTTGTGCTGAGTACTACCTACACGGCGACAAGGGTACATTGAGAACGCTTCTTGTTAAGATGTAAAGTACACCTCAGTTATTTAAGCAGGAGTTGCCCCCTAGGGCCTCTCAAGCGATCCCAGGCGAACTTGACAGACATCTTGGCTTCAGAGCGCAAGCAGGTTACCAGTCTTCAGCGGTTGGAGGACGCCAAGGACATGTCCATTTGCGTTGATCAGGAGGCATGGTCCCACTTTAACCACTCGTATTACACGGTCCTTGAGAACGTGACTTGGGAAGCAGTGAAGAACAGTGGAGACATCCCCCAAAGGCTGCACGATGCAAACTGTAGTGCTGCCATCATGTACCAGAAGGCCATTGACAGAATGCATGCTGGGGAATTTGCCGGGGCAGGGCGGCCAGTGGACTACGACTGCAGGATCAGAAAGGTCCCCTCTGAAGAGGTATTGCTGACTTTTGCTGTCGGGTTTCCTGTTGCCCCTTCATTAGTGCATGGCCTGTCATGGGCATTGACGAGTGTGCTGGAAGAAGGGCTGGCTGCCAAAGCAGAAATCCAACATAGGACTTCCTTGATAGGCAGTTTCGTAAGCAAGTGCAGCGTTCAAGAAGAATCTCAGAAACGGCTTGACTGGCCAGACGTGGCGGGGGCATTGATTGACGCTTTCGTCATCATATTATTTGGTGCCTTGGTCTTTGGGATTGCTGCCCTTGTTCAAGGGAACTGCTGCAAGGGGGCGGATGCGACATCAAAAGGAAGCCTTGCCCACCCGCCCCCCGGCCCCCCCCCCTCCCCTCCCCCCTCGGCCCGCCGCAGCCGTCGCCGCAGCCGTCGCCGCAGCCGCAGGCCACGCTTCCAGTGCCCCAAGCGCAGTCCATGCCCTTGCAAGCATGTCAGTCGCAGCCAAGCACGACTAGCCCCCGGCGTCGATTTCAGCCCGCAGCACAGACCTCTTCATCCTCTTCATCCTCTTCCCCATCCAAGCTTGAAGCTGGTCAAGCCTCTGCGTTTTCAAGTCGAGTTAGTTGATGGCTCAGTCACGGAGTGTACAGGTCTTCGCACAGAGCACAAGGCAATTTTTTATCGATTAGAATTCAGCCAGACGGAAAGCGGGGTTCCCAAGCCCAGCAGCTCGAAAACAGCAAAAATGAAGGAACTAAGGGAAGAGACAACGGACACTGCAGTAGATTCCCTTTTGTTTGGTAGTATCGCAGAAAACATTCATGGTGGGGGGACGGGGGTTCTTTCACTGCTGGCTCAGTAGACCTTTCAGATCCTTTCAGCACCAGTAAGAATGCCCAGGCTTGGGCTTGGGGCTTTCGGGATCTCGGTCTTCAGGCTCAGTTTTGTGCAGGAGTTCCAGCCTGGCATTTGAGGGTTTAGGTTGGGGCTTCAGGGTTAACCCTGGAATTACGCCATTCCGGGGCTACAGGTTGGAAACCCAAAGCCATCAGCACCTCGCTAACACCCCTAAGCCGCCCCCCCACGCTGCCAACCCTGCACAACAATTCCCAAATCCCTCAAACCTCCTGGAAAAGTTTCTTTGGCCAAGCTGGGCTCAAAGCCCGTGTAGTGCCGCGCGGCAGTTGGAATCGTCTTCGAGCCATGGGCGGCCGCAGCAGTGCTTTGCAAAGCGCTTTGGGACAGCTCCTCTCCTTAGGGTTTAGGCTTTAGGGAGTTAGTCGGACAGTAAGACAGTAAGTCTCTTCGAGCCAGCGACAGCTCCAGCGAAAAGAGCGCCAAGGTTGCAGCCCTTCAGAGGGAGTTTTGGCAAACGTCTGACTTTTCAGCGATGGTGTTCCTATCCATCCTGTCTCTGCGTCTCTCCCTCTCTCTCAAGCTCTCGCTTGCTCGCTCCCTCTTCGACGGTACAGTTGTCCGTAATGGCAGTACGAGGGCCCAGAAATGACGACAGCCACAAGGCCACTGAAGCGCAGCTCAGTCACAGGCCTGTGCAATTACGGCCCGCAGCTGCCCCTTGCATGTAGGAAAGCTCTCCCCTTGTGCCCGAACCTCACGCGTCGGACCGAAGGTTCTTGAGGTTGCTGTCTCCTGGGTACGGAGCGAGTGCATGGGCTCTTTTGCCCCAACTGATGAAAAAGATCCCTTTCCGCTAGACATTAACTAACACTGCAAGACTGCGTGCTCTGCACTCAGTCTACGCTCCGGTGACAGCCGAGAAGGCCCAGCACCTGAGCCCCGTGACCCTGAACGGCATTGCTTGAGCGCTCCAAGCGAGCGTCACGAATGCGTGGCACACCTCCCTGCGTTCTGTGATCCGGCCTCTCCTGGCCTCGGCGTGGGCTTCTCGGGAGTTAAAGTAGGAGCCTCCTTCAAAGCCACACCAAAAGGCTATGATATGTTGCAGCAGGGCCATCACCATAGAACTTCGTTCTTCGCAAAGGTGTAACAAGGCTCGTGAACGGTGAAAGGGCAGATCTGTATTGGACAGTGATGTGTGTCGCGCTCTATTTCCCAGTGCTCACCATTTGTGGTACCACCCGCGTACTAAGTATGTTTGCCGCGTAAACTAGGCCACAGTCCTACAGATCACCCAAGTGGGTTGTGTTCATTGCAGGCCCGACTTTTTCCTGCCATTCTCAGCATTGTGTGGCTGTTGCTCATGGCCTCTGGGACTTGCCTTTAACAGCTCCAAAACAGCTTCTTGAGGACTTGCTTCCCTTGTCAACCCCTCGCAGCAAAAATGTTGTCCTTGTTGTTCCTAATTTATTCTGAGTCAGAGGAAGTTGAGCAACCATGCCAAGGCTTCTATCGTAGATTCGGGATGTCCGGTGTGCGTTCAAACAAAATTCGACTCAAAGCACAAGGATGCGTGACAATTCCATGCCATCTGAACTGATGAGTCTGCTTGGCTCAAGGGCCAGGTGCTGTGCGGATCCCGAAACCCGAAACCGAAACCCTCCCCCCGACATCCGGATGTAGGCAGAGCCGAGTTTTGGGACCGCTCTGAGTTCAAGAACTGAAAGCTTTGCAGCAGCCTACAGAGGCCTTGTGAAACAAACACCGCCAACTCCCGCCAACACGGCCTGCAGCTGCCTCCGACCATGGGTGCCAACCCTCACGTCATCCTCGGCGTGACTTCCTCAGATCGTCACCAAGCAGTGACATGTGATGCTTTCCTGTTCTTGCTGTTGTTCAAAGCTCGATAAACCTTGCAGAATAGAAGTCTAAAGATCCTATTGACAGCCAGAGCCTGAAGGTCTCGCGCCAAGCAACGCCGGATGAAGTCAAGAAGGCGTACCGCAAGGACAGTGACTTCAAGGTTGAAGGGTGCCACTATTACTACGATTTGCCGGAGCGTAGAGCAAAAGCAGAACTACGATCGGCAGCGGCCTGAGTATCCCCATTTTGTCCTCGGCATGAAAGCAATCTGTGTACCAGCACATGGGCTTGCACAGCTTTTTCTACCTTGGTAAACTGAGTTGGGGATGCATAAGCGTTGGTTTTTTGCTGCTCCGTCACTTTTCTCATCGTGGAGGAAGCCCTCAAGTGCCATCCCGACAAGTGCCTGAACAACCAGGCTTGGTACCAGCACATGTAGCATCGCGACCAAGGGCATGAGTGAGACCTAAGCGCCCCCGGATCTACAGCATCATGGCATGTTGCGAAGAGTTCAAGCTTTTGCTGTCGGGATTTGTATTTCATTCCAAAGCTTTTCGCAACAAGCATTCCCCAGCACGCACTTCCCAACACGCGTTTCCCAATGCATTCCCCAGCAAACATGAGTCTCAACAAGCACTCTCGCCAGCATTCACCTTCCCTAACAAGCATTCCCAAACATGCCCCATCAAGCAAGCATTCACCAACAAGCACACGGCACAAACCCCTCGCCAACAAGCATTCACCTACAAGCATTCTCGCCCCGGAAATAACAAGCATTCCCAAACAAACGGTCGCCAACAAGCGCGATGCGTTCACTACGGGCTCCTACGAAGACGAGTGCGGTGACATGAATGGTTTCGACCCTGCCAGAATGAAGCAGTAGATTGTTCTTGATCGTATGTAGGGCTGATGTAGGGGGCAGGAACGGGGTTTTTGCATGTTATACATGCGCGGCATCTGTGGGCCTGAGTTCGGCAAGGTCGAAGCTGCAGAGCACTTCAAAAAGCTGGTCCAGGCCCGTTCTCGGCCAGGTGTTTGACAGAAGTGACCACGGCAACCTGTTGGGGGGGGGAAGGTAGCGCTTCAGGCCTTGCCTGCGCATACCATCAAGTGCAGGCTTACGAGCAGCTGCTCCCGGAAGCGGAGGCCAACAGAGTTCAACATGATCCCCAAATCTTAAACCTTGCTTGAGTTCTCAGCCCACTAGCGACTTAGGATGCTGGCGAACACGCGCCGCTGTAAAGCTAGGTGGTTGCCCTGGTCTGATTGCTGCTTCAGGGGGCTTGGCTTGCCGCAGCGAAGTTCAACTGCAGTTCAAGACCTCAAACATGAAAGGGCCCAATCCACATTGTAAGGGCCGACTAGGTTGGCAGTGGCTTCTAGTGCACACCTTGTCCTGCCACGAGTCCACGGCCGTAGACCAGCCCTTCCGCCCAACATTTGCACTGTCAAGTTATTTGTTTCGTATTCCCCGAGCGTCGTTCTTCTGAACCGGCAGCAAAATAGTGACCTCCATCGCCCCCCTCGGCAGGCACGTGCTTGCGAAGCTGACAAGGTTGGGGCGGGCACGGAGTTGTGAAGGTTCAAGGCTTCTCTTGTCGCGTTGCGCACTTACGCCTTCTTCCAGCCTTCAGGATGTCGAGAGTTCTAGGAATCAGATAGAGTCTCAGCAGGTCGTGAAGGAAACAGGCATGGTAGGCCTTTTTCAGTGTTCCGCTTTGACGGGGCGGGGATAGCGCGACTTTCCAGGTATGGTCAAGTTTCAGCGCCGGTTAGGTGGGGGGGGTAATCCAGGTGACGAAGAGGAGTCTTTGTACCGAGACTGTCAGGACTTTCCACCGGGAAGTTTCAGTATCCTGCATCTCGGTGCGTTGAGTTCACTTCCAGCAACGGGGCACCTTGGATTGGAGGAAGGCACATAAGATATGTGCAACAAGCTTGCAATGTGCAAATTCGGACACCAGCATACCACAATCTTAACATAACGCTTGGTTATAGCATTGGTGGAGAAGTGGTGGCGCATGATGGTTTTGGTATAACTACATATTGCTAGTGTGCAACCTGTCCCATGTGCAACCAACATCATGTCGCAGGCCAAGTACAGGTACATTCTCAAAGCCGCCGTCATGGCAAAGAAGGCAGAGGCCCCGAGAGTTTCATCAGCGGCTAGCAGTTTGATAGGTTTTGTTTATGGAGCTGCAGTTACTTGAAGCATGTCCTGCCATGCCTCCCCCCACGTGCTATGTGGAGTGTCCGCTTTCACGTGACTTTGGGAGATCACCCTAGCCCTAGCAGTCGTATGTAGTCGTACACCCGTCTTCAGGGCCAAAGTCACAAACAAACGATTGCCCTTACAGTCGCCCCCATGTCTTTGTGAAGAGCATATTCTGCGTCCAGCGATCGAAAGTTGGGGCCCGGCACTTCTTAGATGCTTCGGTCTCGACGTGTCCTGGAAAGGCCTGGGCGTGTCAGCTCTTTGAATTTCCAACGCTCAGAGCAAGGAGGGTTTTTATCAGATTCTTCGCCCGTCGGCTCTCGCTGGGCTTAGGAGAGCGCTTGCTTTGGGCCACAGCCCCACTCCCAGGGAAGCGCGGGAAAGGACAAAAAGACCGTTGATTTTTTTTTATCGAGATCGTTTCTGCACTCTGCACTTTTAACCAGATGCACGCATTTCTTTTGTTTGTCGTTTGGAGGGAATGAAACGTGAATGAAAAGAGCCACGCCAGGAAGCTCACAAGCAGTCGTTGCCGTAGTGATCATGCCGCGCATGCCCGTGGGTCCAACCAGCCTGCGTTCAAGAACATATGCGATCAAGAGGAATTGCTGCAGAAAGCCTTTGAACCCTTTCCACAAACCCATCATTGTTTTTGGAAGTGGGGGGTCCTGCGGCCCCAACAGACAACAGACGTGGATTTTGACTACAAAGCGTGTGCCCATTGCGTGTCTGTTGCAGCTCCGACCAAACACGACCAAACAGAACTTTGTTTTTGCTGCTCTGGCCACATTGCTTCGTGCCGAGCAGGCCCCTAGGTCCCTAGGTCAAGGCGTAGAGGATCGTAGAGGACTGCTGCAGGAAGAAAGGCGAGCACGCGTGGCAGCTCCGGAGTGCCAGCTGCGAGAGGCAATTGCCCTGGGGATGAAAGCCAGCAGCAATCTCTACTCTAGGGGGTTATAGTGTGGATGATGTGCGTCAGTATAGGCGCCAAGTGTAAGGGCACTATGGGTTCTTCATGTTTTCAATGGAGGGAGAGTGTCAAGTGAGAGGATAGTGGCTATGTTATAGGGGTCGGAGGGTTGCATTGGGGGGTCTCATGATCCGTTAAAGACTCCCCCTCATCCTTGGGCTTGGTCTGATGCCCGGCAACCCTTAGACCCTAAAAGTAAGGCAGCTTCAAATGCAACACTTGACAGGCCCAAATTCCGAGGCCGAGGCGAATTTTGTCTAGAAAGTCGTCAACCCCTGGGTCCTTAAACCCCGACATTCGTCAGAAAACTGAAACACCAAAACAGCAAAGGCGCGTGGCCGGAGTTCCTGTATGCCAGTGGCGGGGACCAATGTTGTCGGCGTAGACCCAAACAGTGGTGAAAGATCATTACTGGCAGGGAGCCGCGTGTGGTCAAGCAACTGTTGTTCTCCACCCTGCCCGGCGTTGCTCGTTGCCACACTTAAATCCGGATAGACGGCGTTACTGAGCATCATTCCTCCCAGACATTTCGTGAGTTCCCCTCCCGCCTTCCCCTGGCCAGTGGCCGAATGTCACCTTTGGCCAGTGGCCGCCGACCACCGAATTAAAGCGCCGGGCAACATCACAGTTCCTGCAAGCAATTAAAACCTGCACCTTCAGGATACATTCAGAACAAGCACGGACAGCACTCATGTTGGTCGAGCAGTGTCAAATTTGTCTCTTGTTGGTTTTCGGGCTGAGAACTCGGGTGTGCTCGGGCCGCAAACCCAACTTTTTTGTGCACCAGAACCCAACCCCCCCCGCACCCCCCCCGCACCCCCCCCCCCCACCCCCCCCCCCCGGCCCCCAGCCCTCCCCCCCTCCTACATGACACTACACCTTGAACGTTGGGGATCCTTTCTTGTTGAAAGCGCCTCGGCACGTGCGCTATTTGTCCCGATTCCCGCTTGGTTCCTAAAGCGAACTTGGTTCATGGGTAAATATATCTGGGAACTATAGTTATAGCCCGATTTGGGGTACTTATAACCCTATCTATAGCTACCCATGAACCTCCAAGTATCTATACCAGGCACAAGCATTTGGCCCTTCGTACCTTTGCGTACCAGGGGACCGCTCAGCGCGTGCGGCCCTGGGACATTCCCACGGAGGCTAGATTGGGAGTGGTAGGGTTAGTAGGATTTATTTTTCTTGTTTCTGCAATTTTTCGTTGACACGTCTCAAAGCGTTTCACGGATTCTGCGCCATCCCAGGTTCGAGGCCTTCAGGTGACGTTGCAGACTTCAGGGTTCAAAGGCTTTGCGCCAGCTCCCGTTAGGAAAGCCAGTAGCAGTGGTTCTTATGCTAAGTTCAAAAAGAGGAGCATGTCTGACACACTGTTTGAGGCTTACAAAGAACAGAAGTGTCCGAACAGGAGCTACAGCAACGGGAAAGATTGCAGCATAGGACTCCGCGAAATCCCCAGCTGCACAGGAGGCTTCGATGTGGACCTGGTTTCTCGGCAGACTTCATGGCTTAGGTTTTGGGGCTAAAGGGTAAAACCCCTGAAGTCGAACCTTTCAATCAGCTTTGCGCTCAAGTGCGCAAAGGATACTACAGCATATTGACCTGCACGCTCCTGCAATTCCTTCGACAGAATTCGGCCGCGGAGTATCGGCCTGTGGCAACAGTTGGTGGTTTCGCTTGGGGAGCTGTGCTGGCATGATTTCCATGGTCAGGCAAGTCGTGCTTAACGGCAGGCCCGCAAGTGCCTCAGGAGTTGCGAAACCCCACCCCAGCCTGAGATGCCACGAAGAAGTTGGCAACTCCAAGACAACGGCTCGCATGACCCTAGCAACCGCTGGTCTCAAACTCCAAAGCCGAAGAAACCAAACGACTTGTGGTTGTGGGCGCTTCGTACCCCGCCCTACAGTGAACCCAAACTCCTCATGGGCCGTAATGCGCAACATCTTCTGAAGGTTCACTTGCTGCTTCACCAGGCGGAGAAGTTTTGTTTGGGGCACTTATGGGCTCAGGCTCAGGGTTGAGGGAGTGATCTGACAACTGGCCAGAGAAGCCAATCAGGTGCACCTGAAGAACTTAAAGTCTTCCTCATTGGGTTCGGGGTATCAGGGTACTAGGGTTCAAGGTTTAGCGTTGTTTCATTGCTGCGGCTATTTCATTCGGGCTTCAGGTTGGCTGGGGCTGTAAAGAGCCGAAAAGGAAATATTGATAGAGGTTGGCAATGTTTTCTATTTTGATTCCTTTTTGTTTGGGGGGGCGGTATGCTACTGGCAGCCACGTTGCAGCACCCTTCATCCCTTCATTCCCATGTGCAGGCAGAAGCTTGTCGCCTTAGCCCCACCATCCTCCAGCCCAGCTGGCTGGTTCCTGGCCCCCCTGTTTTTGGTCCCGTTTTTCTGCGTCTAAGCTGCTAAACCCCTACCCTGAAAAAGTCGACAGGCACTCCCTGAAACGCAGTCGCCCCAAACCCTAAACCAAAAGAACACTCTAAGTCGCAACCTCTCCCATTATTCCTGCCCTAACGTGGATCTCCCCTTCACATCAACATGACTCAAACCCTTCAAATCCCTCAAGGAAACAGTGCTGTCGCAATCCCCTGTTCGCCAGTTTCGGGGAGCCCGGAGTCCCATACCTTCCCAGGTCAGCTACCTTGCTGTGAGCGCCACAAGACTCGGGGCTTGGGCGTTTGGGGGCCTGAGGGTTGAGCCGCATGTGTCGTGGTAATAGATTAAACTCGAAAACGCTCGAAGCCCCTTCTTTGTCAGCGCCCGTGCTGTTTGCCGGGCCCTAGCTGACAAGGTCGGCCAAAGCTGAGCCGCCTCCCATGAGCAAAAAGTGTTCTTGGAGGGGCCTGCGATGTTTGAGAGCTGCCATGTTCCTAAACCCCCAAATCCTGGATCAATACCTGGCCTGGCCAATCTCCTCGGAGCGCCAGGAATCGACATGTCCATGTAGCAATGGCATCTGTTCGCAGATATATTTGACCAGAGCTCTATTTCTTGAAGAATTGCCATAATACCTTATCAAGGCATTCCCTAATGATATAGCCTCCGCACCGTAGGCATTCCCCCAATACACCCGCAATGCCTAAGCACATCGACTGCATTTCAATGCCCTCAAAGCGTGCATCTGAACTGATGAGTCTGCTTGGCTCAAGGGCCAGGTGCTGTGCGAATCCCGAAACCCGAAACCGAACCTCCCCTCCCCCTCCCCCTCCCCCGCCGCTCTGAATTTTAAGAACTGAAAGCTTTGCAGCAGCCTGCAGAGGCCTTCTGAAACAAACACCGCCAACTCCCTGCAACGCGGAATTTTGGGCCTGCAGCTGCATCCTCGGCGTGACTTCCTCAGATCGTCACCAAGCAATGACATGCGATACTTTCCTGTTCTTGCTGTTGTGCAAAGCTCGATAAGACTTGAAAAGTTGACGTCTAGAGATCCTATTGACAGCTGGAACCAAGGCTTACGTGAGACCTAAGTGCCCCCGGATCGACAGCATCATGGCATGTTGCGAAGAGTTCAAGCTTTTTGCTGTCGGGATTTGTATTTCATTCCTAAGCTTTTCGCAACAAGCATTCCCCAACATGCACTTCCCAACACGCGTTCCCCAATGCATTCCCCAGCAAACATGAGTCTCAACAAGCACTCTCGCCAGCAAACTTTTGGCAACAAGCGTTCACCTTCCCTAACAAGCATTCCCAAATATGCCCCATCAAGCATTCTTCGACAAGCATTCACCAACGAGCACGTGACAGAAGCCACTCGCCAACAAGCATTCGCCTACAAGCACCCTCGCTTCGAAATAACAAGCATTCCCAAACAAACAGTCGCCAACAAGCGGGAATTCGTTCACTGCGGGCTCCAACGAAGACGAATGCGGTGACATGAATGCTCTTGACCCTGCGAGAATGAAGCGGCAAATCGTTCTTGATCGTATGCAGGGTGCAGGATAAGTCTTTTTGCGGTGGTAGTGCTGGTGGTGGTGGTGGTGGTGGTGGTGGCGATGGTGGCGATGGTGGCGGTGGCGGCGGTGGCGGCGGCGGTGGCGGTGGTGGCGGTGGTGGCGGTGGTGGTTTTGGTCGTCGTCGTCGTCGTCGTCGTCGTCCTTCTCTGCTAGTGCTGGTACTGGTGCTTGTGGCCGTGGCATGTTCTGCGAATAATAGCACTTTGGTTGGTTCACATGAAAGGCTGCAGAAGCATGGAGATTCAAGTTGCCATCCCAAATGGGCTGGAGCCAGGTGGGGGGGCCTTTCAGAGTGTTTCAGAATTTCGGGTTTCGGGGCTTTGGGCTTCGTGCGACAAGGGGTTCAGGATTCAGGGGCTAGGGCTTGGGGATCGTGTTCTGGGGATTACGGTTTATGTTTCAGGGTTTGGGTCATATGGATGCTGCGTAAAATCTAAGGTTGTCTCTTTATACAGGGTCCCCAAAAACAGATCTTGGTACGTGAGGATGTGCTGTAGAAAGCCCCTCTTTTGAGAGATGCTGATGCGTCTTCATGTTGAAGTTGATAGACGCAAGGGTATAAAGAGAGAGTACCACGGCTAGTCCGATGTTCTGGTGACCCAACACCTGCCTTGGCCCAAGTACGGGACCGCCAAGTTGTTGGAAACCCGCACCATCAAACCTCATCGCAACATGCAAAGCCAGGTGACATCTTCGAAGTGCAGTTTCTCGGATGTGATTTGGGGGTGTTTAGCAGTTCTGTGGATGAATTTCTAGGGCCAGACTGGGTGTCAAGATGGTGGATTTTGAGAGATGGTTACCTACTAGACGGCTTAGTGAAGGGGAAGAAGGAGTTGGGACTACCAGCTCACGTAGGCACATTGGATAGTCGGTTGAGCTCAGCATCCGCGGAGTCCAGGGGAGTTTGGATCCCTTTAGTGAGTCTTTCTGATGAAAACCATTCCTTGGTTTGGGGCGCGTGTTTGCGTAAGCTCGCCCAAAACCAGCATGGAAACCCATCTAGCCCCTTCGGAAGAGTGGGTTTCATATTTTTTGCAAAAGCCCGCATAATGTCCATAGGAGTACATGGGACGGTAGCCTTTATAGGGCTTTGTTTGGGTTTCCATGCTACATGCTAGTTTCCAGGAGGGTAGGAGGAGGGACTCATGGATAGGTAGGGCCCAGGCTTTCTCAGGGCCGCCTTGGAAAATTGCCCTCAATCCTGGGGCGGCTTGCGTCTGTGTTGCAAAAGCTGGGGATGCTTAGGCAAGTCATCAGCACCGTGGTAGTAGGTTGTTTTCAGGACCCTAGCAGCCCAGGCATGCCGGCAAGACCAGGGAGGCCGACCGTGTTCATAGAGGGTTTGCGGGGGGAAGGGCGCTGCACGTATCTCGAAGCCTCGGCAACCTCACCCTAAACTCGTCAGGGCGCAAAGTCCAAAGTTGCGATGGTCATCGAAGCATGCACACGCAGTGTGAAAGTCAAAAAATGCAAGGAAACCTTGGGTTTTCTTACCTTGGGCTTGGCGCCCTCAAGACACCTACCAGGACTTGGGGTTGAGAACCATAAGGTTGCAACTTACGAGTCCACTCTACTGGCTTAGGCCACGAAGAGACATGCCGTAGACAGCTTGCAAAAGTTCGTTGGCGAATTGAAGAATGGCAAGTTCGATGACTCTCAGGTTTGAGAAGCTTTGCGCTTGTCAGAGCTTATGTAAGTGTAGATCCACCTTCCCCGTCAGTGTGTGCAGACTAGTTGTGCATGCAATCATGTCTTCCCCTTGTTGCTATTTCAGGCCCAAGGAGAGTAAGAGGCAACATATGCAGTCACAATAGGATGTAGCATAGTAGCAACTCCTAAACCAAAGGACGTTCGTTCTTTCCGTTGTTCTCTTTTGTGTCGTGCGCGGAGGCAACCGATTTCAGGGTTGAGCGCATGACACAGTATTGGCTAAGGGGTGCTTAGGGATTACTTTCTCAAAAAGCCTCAAATGCACTTTCGCTAGAGCGGTTGAATGTGTCCCGGAGGGTGTGTTTTTGGGCATTCAAGATGCGCTTAGTACTCACTCCGTAGTAGTGGACCGCAACGCAAGGCTTCGTACTTCCCGCCTTGGATAGAATCCCTTCAAAGGGGTATGGGCTCTCTCGAAAAAACAAGCTGTCCCGCTGATTGAAATCCTCGCATGGAAGCTGCAACGCCCATGTTTCTGTAGCAACCTGCTTGGCAGCCTGGGAGTGTGGAAGCATCGATGGGTTCACTTACTTGCGCGCAGCCCCAAGTCCGAGAAAACCCGATTGATGCCTTTATGGCCGAGACAACCTCGAACATGCCCCCACAACTGCTGAGTGCTCCGTGGCGCCAGGTGAAGGTTCCTCCAGGCTGCGGCGCGGCCATTACGCTCGTTGTCCTAGAGGTGGGCGAGGGGCCGGGAGCTTGCAGGCCAGTGGGCCCGTAAAGTGCGGCACCTGCTATGGGGTCGTCAAGCACGGAGTCGTAAAGTCTCGTTGGTTGTCAATCCAAGTTTGCCATCTAGGATTCTATGGGTACACACATAGATTGGCAAGTTCGAATGGCCTCGATGCAATTGAATACAATGTGAGTTCTCCTCTAGATTGTTCCACTTCATGTTTTGCGTCAATTCTCAAAAGGGGCATTCCTCCAACATGGTGCTCCTAGAGCTTCCCCAGCTGTTTAGGGTTTAGGGTTTAGAGCAGACATCTTCGATATGCATAGTCCCTCCTCGCACGGGGAGCCAAAAGCCTGTGCACATCAGTGACCCAACCCTATACTCTATAAACCCCAAACCTGAAACTGTATCGCGTCCATCGCCATCGCCAAGGTTGAACTTTGCCTTCGGGTAAGTGGGGAGTGGAAGAATGGATGCCCATAGCAGTCCCTACATATGCCCGTAAGTCATCTCTATAACGCGTTTCTTCCTTCGCCCTACCTCAAAACCCTGAACCTTAGACTCCAAGGCCCAAACCTGAATCCACAAAACTCTAAAAATGGCCACCAAATCCTTCCTGACTAAGCAGCAGTACGCCACAGGAGGATGGGGCGCCTGGCGGGCCCTGCAGGGGTGTGGACTTACATCTCGGGGTTTAGGTTTGGGAGGGTTGCAAAGGGACGGTTTGGTTTGGGAGGCATGTCAGTGCAGCTTCGGCTTGTAGTTTGGGAGAGTTAGGCTTTGTCTTTTTGGGGTCCCAGGTGCTTACATGGAAACTTTTTGTTCCTATATTGCTGAGATTTTCAGCTTTAAGCTTACCTCAGGCTTTTCAGTCTGGGGTGTGGAGCTGAGTTAAAGCTTCAGAGTCCGTGGGGTCGAGAGTTTACTGTAGAAGTATTGTTGAGAGTTTTGAGCTTGAAGTTTTAGTGTTTGTTCGGGCTTCGGGCTCACCAGCCGGGCTTCTTGTGAATGCCGGATAATCTCGCCCCCAACATTGTTCCGTCCTTTCGGCTCCGGATGAGGAATATGGTCTTACCTGCTTCAACCGCGGCGAACTACAGCCAACATGGTAAAGCCTGCCTTCCTTCCTCGTAGTTCTCTGCCGAGGGTATCAAACCTGTAGTCACACATCCACGCAGAAGCCATCAAGACTTAGACCCTTGCCTCCTGGAATCTTTGCAGTCCTAGACGAGCCCATCCGATGCCACACACCCTTGCCGTCTCCCTTCCAGGTTTAGGCTTGCAGGTTTCGGCTTTTGGATTTCGGGTCTCGGGGCTTCTGGGCCCGGGGGTTCTTTTCCTTGTTCTATGCTCCCTCACGCCCGTGGCAGTGCCCGCCACGAAGTGCTCCGCCAAGCCCTGATTACGTTGCGCCGGCAGGTCCTGCCCCACAGCCTCCCAGACTTGAGGCCAGGAGATGGTGAGGTTCAGGTTAAGGCGTTGAGTGTGGCATCAAGTCAATTGTCGAGGTCATTGTGCCCAGGCCTAGCTGGTCAAGTGGTATTTACATGCGGAGATGTCCGACCGGATCATGCATCCGGGGCGGGGTAGAGTGGGACCGGGGGTAACAATGAAATCTCTTGGAGGGATTCATTATTTTTGGGCGTTATGATTGCAAGATTTCAACCTTATATTCCCTGATAAATTTCAATCTAACCCCTCCCAATAAGAATATTTGATCGTTATGTTGACGGTTGTTAAGCGCAAAAGGGAGATATGATGACTCTCTGCAGGAGTTCACAGTTACCCAGTTGGGTCCTTTGAGGTCTTGCGTAAGGAGTAGAGCCAAGAGCTCATTTGAGCAATGTCTTCTTTGGGACCGTCTGCTACGAAGCTTCCCCCGCCCTTTCCAGACAAACGTACCTGCGTACCCATGTTTGTGCTCCTCGGCCTGGCGCAGGGGCCAAGGGTGATGTCATTCCTGTTTATTTCCCTCCCTCCCTCCCTCCCTCTCTCCCGTTGTCCCTGCTTTTGCATGTCAGCTTCGTGCCCTTGTTTATGCTTGGTCCTCTGTTTCTGAGGTCGACAAGCGAGATGAAGTTCCTCCACCTGCACCAACATAGGCACAAGTGGGTGCAGGCAGGGCATTTTCTTGACTGTGCTGGTGTCCCAAGTCCTAAACCGTCAACTGAGAACTGAACCCTCCGATCTCCCGCAGCCGATTGCAGGGCTTACGTTGCGTGAGTCCACTTTTTGGTTCTCTGTTTTGGGCTGAGGGTTGAGGTGCCACAGCGATTCTCCAAGTGCCGTGAAGAACTCATAGTCCTTCAAAGCTGCCAAGTGTGTTCCATGAGATTTCGAAGCCTGTGAATACCATGGGCGGAGAATTGTTAGATTTACATGTTCCCAAGCCTCGTTCCCAAGCCTCGTTTAGTTCTGATGTAGATATAGGCTGATGCGCCTTCAGCATGAACATCAGTCAGATCCCCTTAGTCAGATCGAACGCTTCAGTTTTTCAGGGCTTCAACGATCGCTTCTTCCAGCTTTCAGCGTCCAGCAAGATGGCCTATGTATCCAACTAGAATCTCTGTGGAAGTGGCATATCTTCTTAGATGTAGCTGTGTTGAGTGGCAAGGGTCTTGCAGACTTGCCAAGTGTTTGGAGAAGTACCAGAGCTGCGCATGTAACTTCTAACTATGCTAGATAGGATACAGTATGGCACATGTGGGATGCTTTAACTTACTTTCATCACATGTCTGATGCAAACAAGCACACCGGTGCCCGCACGCCATACCCTGAGGGCACACATGGGTCATGTTCAGGGCGAGCAACATACGCGCGGTGTGTTCGTGTGTCAAGCTGTGTGCTTGAGCTTTGTGCTTGTGTCCAGCCACAGCCCATGTCGGAGAGCCGAATCTGGCCAGGATCTCAAGGCCCGGGCGTCGCAGGCTGCAGGGATCTTCCACCAGGCGGCAGTCGGGAGGAGGGGGCAGGTTGTGGAATTTGTGGTTAGGGTAAAGCTAGTACATCCTGAGCAACCCTGTCCCCTGCCCAGAAGCATTCAAGTCTAAACTCGCACAAACTTGCAACTGCAGTGCTTCAGACTGCGGCCGCGAACAAGTGACGCCCTAGTTGTTAAGTGATTTGGTTTGAACCTGAGCCCCAAACTTTCAGCCCTTGAGTCGTACAGACCTGTGTTCAATTTTGTCCAAGGCACCAAAAGGCCAGAAGAATCCACAAGTCCCAGGTGGCAAGCGCCCTTGCTGAGCTGCACCGCGTTGGGCTGGCGCACCGAGACCTGAAGCCCTCGAACATCTTGCTGGGAGCCCTGCCCGATTTCAGCTCCAAGGAGCATGTAAAACTCGCATGGAGGGGACCCGATAGCCAGAATACACTGAGGTTCGGGCTCGACGGAGGCACGGCAGCTCTTTTGCAGCCCTTCATGGGGTTTGGGAAGGACGGGGGACATTCCAGCATTCGAGTCTGTGGGATATCCTCAATCGAGCTTTAAACGTGAGTCTTACCAAGCTGTGAGAGATCTTTGCTACTTGCAGCAAACGTGCTTATATACGAACACATACTGCCCCGATCCCGTCCCGCCTACATGTGTGCACACAGGTCTCTGGCCCAAAGCCTTCTGAGGCCGACAAAAGCAAAACCTTGCAACCGCACAAATGCACCAAGGATAGTTCCCTGCGAGAGCATATCCAACACACTAATACACTGTCGATTCTCTCTTCAGGCGAGAACGATGACAACCTTCCTTGTGGAGGCGTCCGTCTCTGCGACTTCGGCTTGGCGAAGCTCATGGAGGACCGGGGTTTCTAGCCACGGTGCTTGCTTGCTTGGGGGTGAATGGGGTGGATAGGTTGGGTTCCAGTGTTGGGGCATTAAGAACCGGAGTTTTGGCATGCAGCTTGCTTGGGGATTGTCTGATTCCCGGAGCAGGAGTCTGGCGACCGGGCAACGTTCCACAGCCCAGGCCGATACCTTTTTGTGCTTGGCATGGCTGTGTAGGCTTGGCGAATTTCTAAGGGCCCCCTATTTAGCTTGTTCCTTTTGGTTTTAACCTTCTGTTTTTCTTTCCTAAATAGGGTTTCCTAGTAAAAATACAATGGAAATAGAGGTTTTTCCTTATCAAAATACAAAAAACAAATGCTGGCGAAGACGCCAAACGGTAAGATTGTAGAGACAGGGAAAACACATGAAACAACAACGCGACAGAAAATTTGGCAGGGCGCTTAGGGTTACCCTAAACTTCAGTGCTCGCCCCTTCATAGGTGAGTCATGCAGCGCCATGAGACCCAAAGGCATAGACGTGCAGGCATGACGTTTTTTGCTCGTGTGTCAACCTCTGTATTTCCCATGCCCGGAAACCAATCCGCGCACGCTTTCTCGATGTTTTCCATGGTCGGCGCTTGTGTCTTTGCCAAAGGTAAAAAACCCGGGCGTTCAAACGCCCCAGGCGCGAGCTATTTGGTCACTATTGAGTGTATTCAAATTTCGGGACCGAGCGTACTCAACTAGCGCCCAAGTTTTGGGGACCGAGCGTGTTCATTTAGCATCCTGCTTTTGGGGACCGAGCGTACTCAAACAGCGCCCAAGTTTGGGAGACCGAGCGTGTTCAACTAGCATCCTGCTTTCTGGGGACCAAGGGTACTCAAATAGCACCCAAGTTTTGGGGACCGCGCTTTTGGAACGCTGTAGAAGTAAACACATATCCCTTCGAGGTTTGTCGTATGTCCCTTCCCTTTGTGCTCGTAGGGTTTGGTGAGGGCCCTCGAACTTTGTTGTATGTCCCTCTCTTCGCGCTCGTAGGGTGACGTCGTAAGCAGCTAGCGCCTTTTCTGTGCCCTGATGACCAAATAGCTCGCGCCATGGCGCCAACTATTTGGTCGCAGGGCACCATCTAAGGTGTTTCAACACATTAAAACGCGTTTTCAGGGCTAGTGTTTTGCCCCTAACGGCCTGCGCTGGTAGCGTAATCGTGGCCCTGAAGCCCGCATACATCTTAACATGGTTCCAAAAGCCTGTGCTGGTAGCGTAATCGTGGCCCCAGAACCCGCCAGGGCCGGCCCCCTCTGCGCGCTGATGACCAAATAGCTCGCGCCATGGCGCGAGCTATTCGGTCATCGGGGAACATGTATGGTGTTTCAGCACGTTAAAACACGTTGTCACGGCTAGTGTTTTGCGCCCAGAAGCCTGTGTTTGCTCTGCGAAAAAGTTCTATACAAGCGCAAAAAACATCCTCTGTTGTTCCTAACATATGGACTTTCAGAATACTGTAGAAGTAAAAACATATTTGTTAGAGGTTTGTCGTATGTCCCCTCCCTTCGTGAGGTTTGGTGAGGGCCCTAGAAGTTTGTCGCCTGTCCCCTCCAAGCGTGCTCGAAAACCCTAGAACCAGAACGTGCTTGAAGCGCCCGGCATCTAAGGTTTCAAGGTTTCAAAGAGGCGTCTTGGTTGGTTCTTGTGTGTGCGAAAAGACTGAGCGTGTTCAACTAGCATCCTGTTTTGCGGGGCCGTACTCAAATTGCACCCAAGTTTTGGGGACCGAGCGTGTTCAGTTAGCATCCTGCTTTGCGGGACCGAGCATACTCAAATAGCACCCAAGTTTTGTGGACCGAGCGTGCTCAACTAGCATCCTGCTTTTGCGGACCGAGCGTACGCAAACAGCACCCAAGCTTTGGGATTCAGAACATTGTAGAAGTAAAAACGCATCCCTTCGAGGTTTGTCGTATGTCCCTTCCCTTTGTGCTCGTAGGGTTTGGTCGAAGTTTGTCGTATGTCCCCTCCCTTCGCGCTTGTAGGGTGACGTCGTAAGCAACCAGCACCCCTTCTGTGTCCTGATGACCAGACAGCTCGCGTCATGGCGCGAGCTATTCAGTCGCAGGGGAAACATCTGTGGTGTTTGAACACGTTGAAACACGTTTTCGGGGCTACCCAAAAACCTGTGCTGGTGGCGTAATCGTGGCCCTATAGACCATTTTTGCACGGTTCCAAAAGCCCGTGCTGGTAGCGTAATCGTGAGCCCATAACCCGCTTGCAGTTTAAAACGGCTATATTGACGTCTGACATAAGCAAGGAGAGTACGTCTGATGCGCCGCCTCAAGCTTCTATGGATTGGTTGTCCTTCGGATTGGATTTCGGGGTTCGGGCTTTGAGTACGAACTTGTTCGGCTTGGCTTGTCCGTTCTACTGTCATCCCGCTTCTTGGCCGACCATTGTCCTCGCCCTTCTCCTTGGCTTCATCTGTGGCGCTGTCTCCACTGCCTGCCTTTTCTTCCATTTCAGGCCTTCCTTCACACAGGTGGGCCAAGAGCAAGCCCTCAATCCGCGGCTGCGCGGATATTTGCATGCAAGGCCAGGGTCATAGGGATCTTCCGTTAACTACTAGGGTTGGTTCTCTTGAGGTTACTATTAGGGGTCCGCTTCCTGAGGTGAGCGCATTCCTGGCCCATCTGCAGGACTTTGAGGTGCCAGAACCATCAGGAACCTGTGCAGTCGCCCCGTGGGAACTCTCCTGTTCCTGATCCTGCCAGTCACGTATCCCAATCGGTCCCTGCCGCTTCCCAGGTGCAATTGCAGGCCCCCAGGGCCCCGGACCCTACTGTGGGCCGAGCAGGTACTGAGGCCGCCTTCCCTCCTTGCCCTCCCAATCTCTTGGTGTTGGGCCGAGGCCTGTCCGTGACGGGCCAACTCAGTGGTGAAGATCGGATCCGCCGAGCGTGGCGTGCCGGGTGCTGGGCGAGAGAAGTCCTTGCTCACAGGGTTGGTTCACCCTTGCCTTCGCCCACGATCCCCTTGGCACCCAAGTTCTATTGTGTGGTTGGGGGGGGTAACTTTGAGCCTGCTTTGTACCGCACTTATCGTGCCTTCTCTTCCGCTGTCGGTCCCCTTGAGGGAAGCCCCGTGGTCTCGCACGCTTTCCCATCGGAAAGTGAAGCGCGTGCAACTCGGGATCTTCGGCCTGGTTGACGGCGTAAAGCTTGGCAAGAACCGCGGTTGAGAAGTCCACAAGCAATGCGGTGAGCACCATATCTGCAACAGGAACCACCTCTGAACCAACCAGGCGCACAGCACCAACCTCTATAACCCGAGAAGGGCCCAGTAAGTCGGGCACTGGGACCAAAACCCCCTGGACCAACTCCTCCTCGGGGATGGCCCCCGCAGGCAGCAGTAGCAGGAGACCATGTTCTCCTTTTAGCAGGACAATGGCCTGGGATTCGACGATTGAGTCTCCATTCCCAGCATGCTCGTACACAAAGAGGGAAGGCGCCTCGCTGAACACCTTCACATCGTCGGGACCGAAGGTGGCCATGATCAGCGACCCAAAGGCCAGGTGAGGCCGGAAGCAGTGGTGTAAGCTCCCTCCACCTGTCAGGAAGCGCCCCGTGCTCAAGCTGAGCAGGGAAGATCCTCTGCAGCGGGCCGCCGGCTTGGATACCGCTACCGCAAAGTCTGCAAACCCTGTTGTGGCAAAACCGAAGCGACCCACCACGGTGCTGCTCGCCCAGCAGCTTCAGCAGATCACGGCAGTGATCCCGGGGCTGGCTGCTCAGGTCGAGGAGCTAGCAAAGGCGCAGGCAGCCTTACAACAGCAGCAACTGCTGCAGCCTTCGCCCCCTCCAGTTGCCGGGCCTAGTTCCACTGTGGCTCAGCTTGCGGCGCCGCTGGGGCTCGGAGCTTCCCCAAAGTTCCTCCCGGCCGCAGGGCTTGGTGGGCTAATCGGTCCTCCCCCGGGGCGTCGTCCAACTGCAGCCCCGCCGCACACCCTCATGACATTCCCAGAACAGGAGTGCGAGGAGGCTGCCGAGAACCTAGCCAATCCCCAGAGCTCCGAGTCACCCTTGGCTCAGGCGGTGCTGGCGCAGTCCCAAGCACTCACAGCTCTGGTTGCACAGCTGTCCACAGGAGACACCGCGGATCTCAGCCTGCCCGGAGCATCAGTGGGGGCTCGAGGCAAAGCTGCAGGAGGAGCTCGCCAGCAACAAAGGCGTCTTCTACCACGCTGTCCTCCAAAACATGGCCCGCCGCATGTCCCCTGCCAGCAGCCACTCTTCCGATCCGGCCGAGCTCTTGAGCCACGGAGTCTGTCTTACGAGGTATTGGGAGAGATTCGGAGGATTCCACCGCGCAAAGGACCTAGGTATTCTGGCTTTCCAGGTTGCAAATGCCTTGGACGCGATGCAGGCTGGAAAGACTGCCCAGGCGGCAGACCACCTGGCCCTCCTGGCCGTTTGTTTGGAACAGGGTGCTCTACACGGTGGTCGGCTCGACCTAGGGTTTCAGCTGACCTTTCTGGAAGAACCGCCGGCCGCCCTCTTCTCGGACAGAGCTCTTCAAACGCGGATTCAGGCAAGAGCGTTCGCGCCGCTGGCTGCTCAACGATGGGTGGCCGTTGTCCTTTGCTTACATGAAGGAGCTCGAGGTGATAACCAGTCGCAGGCTGGAAAACCAAAAAGGAAGGGCTTCGCACAGTGGCTCCGAAGCCCCAGGCGACAGGCCCCAGAAGGCTGCCAGTCCAAAGAAGCCCCCTCGGAAAAAGCAACAGCAGCCGGCCCAATGAGGCCGCCCGCTCTGTCTGGTGATACGAGTGGCGACGGCGCCCCTTTGTGGCTTGCCCCCACCACCATCAGCCGACGTTGTGCACGCTGCCCTCTCGGAAGTCTGCACGGCTTCCTCTTTCTTTGCTGCCCTGCCGAGGTGGTTGGTCCGCACCAGGACTCCATTCTCGGCTTTCCTGGCTTTTTCTTTCCGTTCTCCGCACAGCCGCTGCGGCACTGCCCCAGCTTCCGCTATCTTTCCACTGCCGGCCCCTTTCTTGGGCATCTTCCAGAGCAGTGGCCCACGGCTTGCTAAATCTGAGTGGCGTCGGCTCAGATTGCGGCGCGCCCTCCACTGTGTCGTTATGGCTTTGAATTTCCTTCATGACCAGTTGAAGTGGCCCTCTCAGACCGAGCTGCTGTGGAGACATCCAAA